CGAAAAGCAATTTATACAAAATTCAACTTTCCACGTTGTGTATATACATTGTATACGAACCAAAAACGTATAATACGAAAATCAATGATGTGATGCCGAAATTACCATTCGCCAAAACGTCTTTCGCAGAAAATATGATCATCGCCAAAACTTTTTTGCAACTTTGGTGACATTGACGCGTTTTTAGAAAATAATTTAAGAGTATTATGGCGAGAAAGGAACAAATTTAAAATCGTAATTATATTATTAAACCTATTCATCGATTTATCGAAAACTATAAAAACATTTTTTTTTTTTTCATAATATTCCATTGAAAGGCACCTCAAAAGGACCCCTTCGAATGTGTATCAATAATTATAATAATGTTTAATACTCGTTCTGTTAAAATTAATTGTGTTTCACATAATAATATGCGAATTTTGTTGTAAGGTCATTATTACATTCATAATCTCGATATGTAAAACAGAAATGTCGTATGTTGGTCGATTGGTAGCGAATGGGGTTAATTCTCAAGTGGTCTCAGTGTCCTGAATGATTTTTGCGGTCTCTTTAAATCACTATGACTTACATTATATTTCGTTGCAACAATCATAGATAATTTATTGACACTCGACAATCTACTTCTTGCGTACCCATAGTTGACGATTACATCGCACCGGAATTATTTTATAAAACGATTCAAGGCTATTTACGTTGACGGTTATGCACAGATCAGAAGATGACTGTGGCCGGACGTTGGGTTTATTGCGAACGTCCGGCCGTGGAATAATATACATAAGTACCGTTCCAGAAGACAATATTATTATTATTTCGTGTACATCATCTACGACTTCCGTTTAATCGTATAATATAGGCGCCTATCATCGCCTATCCGCGTCAGGTATTTATTTCTGTATGCGCTCGAGATAAATATCAAAAATACGTAATCGTAATATTATTATAATACAATAATGTAATGGAATTTTGGCATTTCACTGCAAACTAACGAATTTTCGTAAAACCATATAATATCACAACGTGTAAATCTATAATAATCATTATTATTGGCCCAATAGTATAGTTATTTTATCATTTAAAGACAACAATATTCAAAAACCGATATGGTATTTTTTGTGTATTACTTTAGATATTTAATACAGTCTTTAATCGATGTCATTGCAACGTTCGCCGAATAGAGAGAACATAAACAATATGCGACTTAAAAATTATTGAATGTATACAAAAAAGTAATAATGATATGAGAGTATATTGTATCGTATACTATATTTGTGTCATTGTGTGTATATGTCGTAGGCCATATGGATAATTAGTTTTTTTTTTTCAAAAATACTAGGCTCTTTGCAATGAGGTAGCCTGTTTGCGAACTACTTATTATTTTTCCAAACAGCCTACTGTTTTTCAGGCTCATTGCATAACGACTAACAGCAGTTAGGCCTTTTAAGAATTACAATGATTTTATGGTAATAACCATTTGAATATTGTGTTACTAGTTTTATTTTATATTATTCACCATATGTAACATGTAAATTGAACTATTATATTATTGTATTATAGGTACATTATTTTCTTTTTTTCTACAACTTTGTTAATATTAGATTTTGAGTGTCCACGATATACTTTTAGAATATGGACAGCAAAAAAAATGACACAGAAATAGTGATAGAAATTAGTTATAATTGAAGTTGGTAGTTATATTTTAGTCAATATTCTTGAGAAAAAATAAACATTATTTTGGTAAAAGTATATAAATACAAAATCCCAATACATCGCTCAACATTTTTAAATTTTAAAACCAACTGAAAAAATTGTATTATTTTATTACAACAAAACAAAATAATTATTCAACATAATTTTGCCACTCTCGAAAGTTTGTCACTCTATGTGGCCACATAGTTCGTAAAGCTTTAAATCCGCTCCTGTATTTAGTCCGAATTAGCTCACTGCTCGAATAATATTTTTGTTATTCATATATGTTATTCTAACATAATAATAAGTACCTACGTATTTAAGTACTTCAATTGTATAGTAATTTATATCAATTGCGTCCATTCTTCCGCCTCCGCTTGTGACACATGTATGTATTATATTATCATTTATTGTGTAATGTGTACAATAAACACGTTCGCTCGCCGCTTGACACTGATTTGTATAATATATATATATATATATGATATGCTTGTGATTTATGATAATTAATATAAAAGTGGTGTGAAATTATGGATGTAGACTTATTCTTATGAAATATAACCTATGCACGTATTGCATAATAATTATTAATTATTATATTGTATATAATAACACTATGGTAATGATTTAGAATTTGGATAAATTATTATCAATATGATATTATCGTGGGTAATGGATTAGTAATAACAATGTTTTATTTAAATTTTTACAATACAATTTTGTTTAACAATAAAACATAATATAAATTATTATCTCCCAAACCATAAGATTGTAAAAGAGACAATGTTTATATTTTTTTATGAATTTACCTGTTGGCTAATATATCTAAAATAGTAAAATAATATTTTTTTCTTAAAGTGTATTGCGATACTTAATTATTTCAATAATGTATGTTTTATCACATAATAACCGAAATACAATCTTAAAATTTTAAAATGTGTACTTAAAAATGTCTATATTTTAATTCACACCACCGTGAAACATTTGTTGTGCTTACTTTAGCGTTATTCAGAAAAAAATATATAAATGCATACGAATCCGGTCCCTATACAACACTGACGGCATTATGTAGATCTAGATTATAAAACACATCACAGGTGATATTCATCATATAAATAATAAAACATAATATATAACATTATATATTGTTACGGCATTCTAGCGACGTGGGTGCTCGGGTGGACTGGATCACGTCTTCGGCACATCGATGTGTTAAAACGCGAATCGCATTATTATCATTATTCCCGATACCTATGATATTCACTAGTTGTCGTGTCATGCCGTGCGTACCTAATGTTTTTATATTGTCAATAGCAAGACAGAGTATACATTATATAGCTTGCGAGTTAAATATTTACTCATCGGAGCTTGAAGCGCACTTAAAAATGCTAAAAGACAGCGCGCAATAGTTTGAGTACAAGCATCAAGAGATTATAATTTAATAATTGTTTTCCTTCCACTGCATGTCTATGATTTATCCATCATAATACAAAATCATTAACATTAATAACATTAATAATTGTTAGATTATTTAAAGATTTTCCTAGAGTAATATACGACAAATAATAATAACTAACGGCGATCCTTTATATTGCACACTGCATAAATTTGGTAGGTAGTTCCTTTCATCTGTTTCGTCTGATCGTGCCTAATGGTAAAGAAGTTCTTGTATTAAACCGTTCTCTTTATTACATTGAAAATGTTTAGTATTATTAAACACTTTAAGTTTTGAAAATATTAAATTTGGTAACGTTATTCGATTTAAATTTCAAAAAAATATAGTTTAACCACCTTTCCTCTTTAATAAAATTCGGACTTGGTTTTAGTAACATATAAAAAACTCAAACATAGTACTATATACAACTTGAATAAAGTAGTACACGATTTGCCGGTTAAACAATAGCGGTAAGAAAAATATAGGTACACAATAATAACTCTAAAAGAATATAGAAATTTGGTTCAAGTATGTCAATAAAATAACGTAAAGGGTGAATATTTATAGTTACTATACATTATAACATGTAAGCATCAAAAATCGACATTTTTCGTGCAAAGTTCATCTGAAATATAGTTAATAATATCCATTTTGTATAAAAGCCAATATTTTTCTAAAACATTTGATATAGGTACTGAATATCGAAAAAAATGACAAGGGACTGCAGATACTTCGTATAAGTCGTATTCCTAGTTTTATTCATCTAAACTTTATATACACTTAGAAGTCTATATTTCGTTCAATACTCAACATTGGTATTTTTTGAAAGAGTATTCTGATTCCAATCATGGAGTTAAAAATGTACGTAGTAATAAAAAAATATCTAAAAAACTTACTATTTATAATAAAACACGAAAACAGACTTTTTTTTTAAGTATTATAAAAACCCTTCAAATTATATATAAATATGTAAATCATAACCAGTTTTAGTGGATTACCCTTGTGTATATGAATATATTATGTATGTATAATTATAATTTATAACATTTCAAACGGTTTCCAGAGTGCAATTTCGCCCCACCTAGCTCTATCCTCTCCCTTGCAGAGCAAATTGTAAAAATACATATTTTTTATTTAATATAATTTATACAATTACACAACCCTTTCCAAAACAATAAAAAATTCGTGAATACTAAGCCATTGTTAATCATCATTAAACATAATTCAACTGCAGAATGTGACTGCATACAATAATATAGCTGCAGCGGTTCGTTGATCGTGTCGGATCATCTCTTCCGGCCTGCCAAGACCACAGTGTTTAAGAGTCACGATGTATATAGCTTATCCAATCAAATTAATATGTTTCAAAGCCATAATATATATATATATATATATATATATACACATTGATAATAATATAACGACCCATGTCGGCGGCGGGGCCAAAGTCCTTTTCTCGTCAATGCGACAAGTCATCCGAAGGATTAACACGATTTTCGGTCGCTTCCACTATCATCACTTTGCAGTTTCCATCTTTCTCGCTTTCTATCTCTCTTCCTTGTTGCCGCCGTCTTCACCCAATGTCGCTTTTGTTTTTTTTACCAATACACGTAAAATATTTGTAGCTATACGAATGGATGGACTCGTAAAAGAGGCGATAGTGAAAAGAAATTTAATTTTTGGTAAACCAAATACTTATTTATGTTGAAAATCGCTATAGGAATAACGCAAATACTGCAATTTCTTACTGTGATTCAGTTTAAAAATCAATAATACATATTTCTGTTAGTGATTAGAAAAAAATTATTGGTTGATGATCTCTTTCTTATAAAATAAACAGCCAATTATTTGCTTATTAACTATTTTTGTGCCGTTTTAGATGAGAGTGCTATGCCAGGAATCGATCACCACGGAAGGAGGCATGGTGGTGGGCAGTGGCGCTGGACCAACGGAACTCTATCCGAACGGTGAAGAAGGTGTCGACGATGTCGGCAGGGAGAATGTGTTCGTGCTCAATGACACCAGGGAAGCTCTATCTCACGACGGTAGCGAACACAATTCGGTAAGTGAAAATTTATTTTACCTATAAAATACAATAATTTATAATGCAAGAATAACCTTGAAACAATAAATAAAATCTGCTGTTTAATAACTATTTGATTAAATATTTATAACATTCTAAGATCAAATCCGGATGTCCTGGCATAAACAATTTTTTTTATCATATTATGTGGTAGCACATGATTTAGTTTGGTATCGCTGATGTTAAATAATTAATCTCACTGGAGTCGTCTAAAATCTAAGTTCAATTTTCCTGAAATGACAATATTTTTCGGGTTTAAGTATTCTGGTGTTAAATGAAAGTATAATGAAAATCTAATCAAATTTAATATAAAATACTTGACTCAATAGCTGTAAAAAAAAAAAAAAAATACTGGGAGATAATGGCTTGATAAGCATGTCTACGATTTGCAAGGCAAAGGATCTAGGTGAATTACTTGAAAACATTTTAATCGTTCTCGAGTTGCTGCGGGGGTGAAAATCAAACCGAAATATATGATATTATTACCATATTCCGAACCTCTTGGACGTGATATTATAACAGTATACTATAAGCTTAATGTTTCTGGCCGTTTTAATGAAATTTATAAAATAATAATATTATAAGGGTTACGTTTCTCTATCATCAATATTACTTATACACACATTGATTATGTCGATTTGTGTTTGTTCCCAGCCTGCGAACAATAAAATAACAATATTATTTGCTCGGGACTATTCCGCTGTACCGTTAGCGTTAGATATAATTTATATATATATATATATTATACTGTGTTTTATTTTATATGATGTTACGTATGAGTATGTGTGCTAAATTGATATATGTCTTAACATGACTGTGTAAATACCTCTATAATTATATAATTGTTATTCGTTTTTGAATATCGTTGCCGATCTTTTACGGAATAAGCTCAAAGTGCGGTACTTCCATTTTTTTTTTCGTTTTCAGTGTCGATATCATATTACTAATGTAATGTTATTGTTATTGCGATTATTACCATCATTATACTTTCGTACCCGATGTACAAATAATAAGCGAGCAATAATAATAATAATATTACAAAGTCATTCGTATCATTCGTTTTGGGTTGTCCAATATAAATATTATGTATAGGTACTTAACACTTGGTAATCTCCTTTCAGAATCGTGTTCCCGGGGAAAAAAAAATTATACCCAAGTGACGTCACTAGTTTCTCATATTTAATATTTAACATCAACGCGCACGAAACACTAGCAATTTTTGCCCTATACATCAAATGTATTATGTATATTATACAATGTGTAAATATTACAAACCGTTAGGACGTGATTCTTGGAAAACGGGTGGCAAAAAGGACTCCATTGTATTATAATGACTCGGGAAAGTTTTAATAACGCACTAATAGTTGCTTCAACAACATATAACAAACAACCAGCATATTAATAAGTAAATGAAAAAAAAACATTGCTAACGTACAACAGTATTCATTCACGAGCTGAGGTTGTACATAATACTGTGCGTTGCGGAATATCTGAATAATATTTATTATTAAAAATAATTAATTTTCGTATTGGGTACATCGTGTAAAATCTATCGTTTTAAAACGTCATTGCAAATTAATGTGTAAACTCCACTGCCACAGTTGATATTTTATTATAATACAATTATGATAGCAAAATACTCCAGGCATTTCGTAAATTATATCGTTCATAATGGTGCGGAAGTATACCCGCGTAAATACAGGACTTATAGTTGCAAGGGTCCTAGAGTGCCGCATAAATCAAAGTTAAAAATAGGCCACAGGAGCAAATTCAATCCATCCTTACTTGATAGACAAAGGTTTATCATAAAACGAGGGTTGAACGAGAGTTGGAAGCGTGCCTCTTTATAAATGAGTATTCGATATGCAATTATTATTACGTGAGATGTCACGTACTTACAGAGTTCTGTAAAATTTTATCTAGATAATTATTTGAATGATTTTTCTTATGATTATTCAAATAAAAATGTATTCAAATAATTTCAAAACATTGTTATTAGAATAATTTTCAAACACAATACAAATATAAAATATTATAAAATAATTGTAATTGTTCTAGTAAGTCTACATGTATGCTGTATGTTCCTCAATAGTAACTAATAACAATGTATCATTATCTAAGATGCTATTATTGTATTAAGTACATATTTGTGCAAAATTTTATTTAGAAAATTATTTGAATAATTATGTTTTCAAATTATTCGAATACATTTGTACTCAGATAATTGTGAAAAATAATCCAAAATCCAAATAGTAATTTATTCGTATATAATGTTATCTAAATAAAATTTCATTTGAATAACATTCTACTCTGCGTACCTATTATATCGCTGTAAGTTTTCTGAATGATCAATATGTTCTACGTATGCATGTGAAATTTAATTCAATAAAACAAAATATTTTGTGCTTACAAGAAACTCATTAGGATAATTTTAGATCTAAACACTTGTAAAATTAATGATGTCTACTTTTCTTCTAAATCATTATATAATTCAATTTTCGAATATAATTTTTTTTATTTTCTAATAAAAAAACATTAAAGTAAAGACTCGAGATTTGAGAAATATATTAGCAATACAAATAAGATTTTAACACAATAAATAGAATATAAAAAATAAATTATCAAGTATCAAAAAATCCGTAAATAGACTAACTTAAATCTTTTTACTGAATTAAATTTCTATTATTGTTTATTGATGCAATATGAGTATGTAATCTTTTAGGCTTTTAGGTTTAAATTGAAAATCACGAAATAAATATACCATTCTCAACTATCAGTCAAAAGTTAAAACTTTGGTTGGTATTACTTATATTGGCTATTGAACGATTGAAAATGTTATACCTTTTTGGCCGAACGATTGAAAACACTTCAAATTAACAAAGAACTTACCGCTGACCCCAAAAAGCCCAAAAAAAAATACGATTGAAAACGAATTTACGTTCAACGTTGCCATATTATTTATTTGACTTTTAAAAATTTCAGTATACATAAAATAAATATTCTTGAAAAATTCAAAAATAATAATTTTAATCGTTTATAAATAAGCGCCTAACAATATATGTATGAATAAAAAATTTAAAATATGTAGAACTTATAAAAATACCTAATACCTGTGTAATGTATGTATATAAAAATAAAATAAATATAATATTTTATATAAATTTAATTACCTATATATCAGTTATAGCGGGATAGCGTAAGCTAATATAATCTAAATATTGTTATAAATTATTAGAATTTTAATTTCCCACATACTACATATATTTACTATTTATATTAAGTATTTTATTCTTTTGTTTTTTTGATGTAAAATCGTTTGTCTAAAATATTATCGTTTCTTATTGTTATCGTACTTTGTTTGAACATTATCACATATAAAAGTCTACTACAGACAATGACTGAAAATACAAATTAAATAATCGCAATTACTGTCTCAAATCTTTATTACTGTGTGGTTTTTTTTTTCAAATATTTTTCCATTCTGAATCCAATTGCAAGTGCGTTTTTTTTTTCATCGGACACTTACATGTTGTAACACTAATAACAATAACGGCGATGACAGCAACAATAATAATTATATTATTGTTATTACTGATACTATATTTTCTGTTTAATAATATTATTACCTATCCGGTTGTTGAACCCAAATTTGTATTTATATATTATATATGTGTATACAGTGTAATCATCTCGTTGTTATCTATATTATAAACACAGTTTGGCTTTGCATTTGATTTTTCTCAGAACAACGAAAAACATTAGAAACGAAATTGCATTAAGGAAAAAAAAACCACTACCTACATAATATTTTAATACTAGATCAATAGAAAGCATAAAGTAATTAACGTTTAAACGTTAATTAAAAAAAAAAAAAATATGAAAAAAAAATTTTATTACAGTTAAATGAAACTTTTTATTAGACGTCTCACAATTATCTAATACTCAATTTTAATCAGTCAATGATAATTTAAAATATTTCTTGTTTGAAAAATATTCACGACTGTTATTCATGATGGTAAAGTTCATAATGAATGTGAGTTATCGTTAAATATTCTTAAACGAGCAAAATATTATAAATATCGTTATTTAATAGTATACGATTAATAAACATAATATTCGATAATAGGCAAATTCAGTATAATATTATATTGAAACTAAAAACACAAATGGATTCTTCTGGACGAAAATTCTCTATGTGTACGTTCAAGTTGTAGATTATAACAGATATTAATAATATTTAAGCGTAGAAAAACATAATATCTTTTAGTGTTTCAAATGTCTGCAAAATATTATTTTTATAAGTCATAATAATATTAATATATTTAATGTCTACAAAATGTTTAAGACAATAAAAAGTATTCCGTTACTGCCTTCTGTTTCTGACTGTTCATAGATAAAACGTGTTTTATTTTAGTCGAATAGTAGAATAGTAAACAAATATGCATAATTCATACAGCCATTCCAAGTCCAAGTGTAATATTTATAACTATTAAGCAGGAAGAAATAATAATACAAGTACTATTATCATAATATTACAGTGCAGTTTCGAGTTTTGAGGGTTATGAAAAAATATTAAATGATATAAAATCTATTGAGTTGCTTAATTCTTTTACATTTCGAAAAACGGTTATTACAAATAAAAAAGAACAATATCTCATAAAAACCACTAGAAAACATTAATATAATATTATTATATGTAAATAGTCAACGCGTCTCTTGGAGACTGTTTTATTTTATCTGCCTTAAACAAAAATATTTAGAAGAGGAAGAAAACGAGAATAAAAGAAAAATATTTTACAATAAAATAATTCGACTACGTTGTAGCTCTACGCAATACTAATATAATATTTTGTGCAGCCGTCAGTATTCAGTGGGGATAATAAAACGGTCGGTTTGAACAAAACGCATAGACACGTAAAAAAATTTGCTTGAAAGTTTTATCGGAATAAATCTGTTACTTTTATAATATATAGTTGGGC